TATTATTATCCAAAACAGTAATAAAATTAATATTACACGTCTTTCTCATTATTGTTATTCTTTTTTCAGATCGCGATGTGTTCGGAGAAAGCAATGGATCAAGACTTATGCAAGAACGTCGTACAAAAGAACCGAGAAGATTCATATCATCAATACTCGGCGGCGATATTCCTTACGGAAGTCACAGGGGACATGTCCTTACACAAGCTGAAAGAAAGCAGTATTTGCCAGTTGAAGAAAAGAAGGGAGATGATAAACCTCTCATTAAAGAAGAGAAAGATCCTTTGGAAAGTGAACCTGTAGTCCTACCATCCAGAAACTCTCCATCACCAGAGTCCGTACCATCTCCTAGTATCGATCATAACGTAACATGCCAAAAAGTATCAGTTATTCAAAGAACACCTTCACAGTCTCAGTTTCGCGATGGCAAAAAAGATTTGTCGGATGTTACTATCCCACCAACACTGCCTACACCGGAACCAGAACAGGACCAGCCAATAGATTACGCCATAGCGAAAAAACGAGGAGAATCTGAAGATGAAGAGACAGAAAAAAAGATAAGAGAACAAAGAAGAACAAGTAGTTCAAAAATTGCTAACGGCATCCTGGCTAGGCCAGTTTTGGTTTTGCGCAATTGTCCAGGAAATAAAATTCCAGGAATTATTAATGCCGCTGCAGGACATGGTCGATCTACTGGTGGCAATGGAAACAATTCTAGTTCACAGAGCAGTGGAGGTTCAGCAAACTTTAGTTCTGGTGGTGGAAGCACTGCCCCGACTTCTGGAGGAGGAGGTGCCCTCGGAGGTGGCTCTGGAAGTGGTGGAAACGGTCGAGATGGACGATCAAATTATGGACCCAACAGTCCACCGACAGGCAGTCTGCCACCTTTTTATGAAACTCTAGGTCCTTCAACTAAAAGTGGCCAAAACTCATTCAATGCCAACAGTAACTTCTCCAATGACTTTAATATGATGAATGGATTTAACATGGAATGTGAAAATAATGAGAACACAACTAATTTCCCTGAACAGGGTAAACAATATTCCTTGATGCAGAATGCACATTACGGATTAGCTTTAAAAGACGAGGAAATAGACTATGAGAATAAGTTAGAAAATTTAGGTGCAATTGGTAACTACGGTAGTAATTTCGATGTTTCTATGGTTGTCGATATGGGAGAAGACGTAATAGATAATATACAATTTTCGACCACCTTATCCTTTACCGGATCAAACGAAGGAATATTAGGAAATTTGTCTGATTCTGCGGAAGACTTTGCCAATTTATTAAATAACCATGTTGAATCTATAACTGATTCTGAAATAAGAGAATCTTCATCGATAACGCCAGACTCAGTTCACAATCCATCGGACATCCCATCTCTGGCAGAGCAAATAAATCTAAGCAGACAGTATTACGAGAAAGCAAACTACTTAGCATTCGCGAGTCAAGAGCAAAGCCCATCGTACAATTTTCCTAAAGAACGACCAGATCTGTTAATGCATTTGAATCCGGCGCTCCTTCAACACAATGAAGGGCAGATGCAGCAACTTCAAATCCACGTGCAACTGCAGCAGAGACAACAAATACTATCTCCCGGTTTCCCCTTCCCTAGTCACTCACTGGAGCTGGATTCGCCGACTGGCGTGTCGCTGCCTTCGCCCGGCGGGAACAACTCCTTGGACGGCAACAGCCACATCGAGAGTTCATCGCTCAGTCCTGCCGCCGCTGTAAGTCTGAAGAAAGGCTCTGTCGCCGATAGCAAAATTCAAATCTTGCAGCAAAGGGTAAGCATTCATTGATTTTAAGGCGAAGCTTATACTTTCTTTTTTCAATGTCATTCTAAAACCGATTTACATTTACAAAGATGACATTGAATATTTAAATTAGAAAGAAATCGTTATTACGTAACGCTGAGCCTTAATCAACTTATGCTTCAACCTACTGCGATTGATTAAAAATTACAGTGTTATTCATATCATATATCATATATAATCATTATTTTATAATATACATTTTATTCATTTATTTGATACATTGATTAAGCTCAGCTTTATCGAGTTTTCTCTTTTTGTATCCATACATCTTACA